TGGATGGGAATACTCTCTTTGGTGCCTATCAGAGGTTCCTCACTGCCAATGACTCGTATTTCAACATTCTCTAGAATGTTGTATTTAGCTCTGAAAGTAAGAATCTCAGAAGGAGTAAAAGGGGCCATTGCAGAAGAATAGCAAAAGTGCAGAGGGAGGTAGGGAGGAAAGAGAATCTGAAGCTGGGAAGGCAAAAGTGAAGGAAGGACTGAAGAGAAATCGTTTATAAAAGAAGGGAATTCTAAAAGACGATATTGTAAATGACTAGACACACTGCCAAAACAAGGGGGATGTCCCAAGAGTGAAAACAATGATGGGTTTGAGGAAATAAAACGACTGATAAATGAAAAGCGTCTGTCAGACATTTTCTAGCTGTAAATGAAGAGGGTGGTCCCCTGTGTGGCACTTGCACTTACATTAAATGATCTCACATGAGCAAAATAAGACTAGTCACGTGGCAGAGACATCATTTCAATGACTTATTAGTCCAAAATCGACCTGTTCAAAGAGCTCGGGAATAAGGTGAAAAGGTAGGTCTTCAGTATGACGGAGCTGTTTCAAACAGTAAACGAAGAGCTAAAGAAATGCCTATAACTCAGGCATTTTGGTTAAAAGAATTGGCGTAATTATAGGCCTAACAGGAGGAATTGCTGGAGACATCTCAGCAACTTCCCAAACAGAGTCGCCTAATTGGAGGAAGGTGTACCACCTTGAATCGAGAATCGTGGAAACCCTAATTGAACCGGGTCTGTAAAATGTACGAGAAGCCAAGGTGAAAGGTACGCTGAACTCTCCTTATCTTCCCATAGTTTACTCAATTCCATTACTGAGTTAAGCATCAGAGTACTTTTGATCGAAGCACTTCGATCTTGGGCAGTGTGTTCATTTTACAGGAAGAAAAGACTTAGAGAACGAGTTCAAAGTTCATTCACGAAAGAGACATCATTTATTCATCCCCGTAAGAGGTACTCTCGTTTTTTGCCACTTATAGTTTTGATTTGTGTAAAATATTTATTTTCAAATCACTTCCTTAAGAAATTTTATGAGAACCACTATTAATTAAAATTTTTTCTTTGTTTTTTTGGTTCGTTGTTTGTTTGAGTTCAATTTTCTACTTAAATGACTTTTTGTGTTATAGAGTGCCTTCAAGCATGGGAACTTTTATTGTTCATTTGATTCTAACTTCTATAGCATCTTTTATCATCTCTTGATATTTGGAAAGATTTTCTTCTTTTTTTAATTATCTTTTCTTTCTGAATTGGACCTATATTTACTGTGTACATTGAAGTTTTGTAGTTACAATAACACTTTGCTGCGTGGAGGGTTTCAGAGAAAGTTGGATTGCTTCACGTTGCATCTTAGAATTCCTCTTAGCTTTGTATTTTCTTTTTTTTCGTTGGAGTTGCTACGTAAATCTTCTAAAGATAATTGCAGAGAGAGAGAATGGAGTTAGGATTTGCTTGTTGTAATTGATACTATAGTAGCAATAGGTGATTTTGTCAATCTAACAGCACGGTTATGTTACTATCCATGACCACATAGATGAAAATATGGATATTAATTAATACGTACATGTAGTGTATATATGCTTAATACATAAATTTGTTAGCACGACTTTGATTTTTTATATTTTTGCTTTAACAATTGGTGAGCTTTGTTTTATTTTTTTTCTTTCCAATTAAATGTGGTTCTTAAACGCTAAATCTTGTGAATATTGTGTGTGTGAAAGAAAAGAGAAAGAGAAGGGTATGTATGAGAAAGTTGAATTTCCAATTCTTTGAAAATACAATTAAAATGAATTTGTTGATTGACGGTTTAACTATTTCAATGAAATCTCAATTTTTTTATTCAGAATTTTTTTATTTAAAATTTTTTTGTGCTACATAGTGTCTTTAGGCATGGACATGTATTAGTGTGTGTGTGTATATATATATATATATGGGGCCATAGTTTTTGTCTAGGTAAGCCTCTAAGAGTTGGAAAAGACATAAACCTTTCTAGAGATCCAAAGGCCAAATACCTTGATCCTTTCTATTCAACTTAAAACAGTAGAAAATAAGATCTAGTTTGATGATCAATAAAATCTACTTTGATTTGTGCATTTCGAGAGTCCTTTGGGGTGTGAGCTTTGAAGGTATCTCGAGGGGTCTAGACAGTTCATTGCGATGAAAATGTCCAAGTGAAGCAACTCAAGATTTCGATGGGTGATATATGGACGACAGATTTATAACAAAAATGAGCATCTAGTCATGGGAAGTAGAGCCGGCCCTAGGCCTAGGCCACTTAGTTGGCCGCCTAGGGCCCCCAGTTTTTGCAAAATTTTGGGGCCCCCAGATAGGAGTTTTAGTTCTGAGTAAATATATTTTGTACGGACTGATTTGAGAGGGTTCAAATTTTACTTACCTAGAAATTGCTTCACTTGTCAGCTATTGTAGACTACTAGACTTCTTGTTAGCTATAGAAGACATATAGACTTCTGTAACAAAGAAGATAAATATGATTAGTAACGTTTATCTCTTAACATTTCTCTCTCTCTTAACGTCTATCTCTTAAAATCTCTCTCGTCTATTATTGAGAATACATTAACAATATCGGCTAAAGAATCTTTTAGAATTGAGTATTTTTTATTTATGGTTGATTTAGCTATTTCTTCAATCAAGAGTAGATTTGAATAATTCAAAATATATGAAAATATTTTTGGTTTTTTATTTTTTTTAAAAAATTAAAATCCTTAAATGATGATAGTTTGAAAAGTTATTGTCTTAACCCTGAAATTTTTTGAAGCATGATTTATTTTCTGATATTGATGGTTTAGATTTATTTCAAGAATTGGTTGTATTAAGAAAAGTCTAACAATCTGAAATTAACACTCCAACAAAAACCCTAAATTATACAAAATGATTAGATTCTTTTCCAAATACATGTATAGCTTTTAGAATATTGTTAATAATACCGATAACAGTTGCTTTGGCAAAACAAAGTTTTTCAAAATTTAAATTAATAAAATATTATTTTCGATCAACTATGTCACAAGAAATATTAAATGGATTAGCTATATTTTTCATTGAAAAAGATATATTAACAAAAATTGAATATAAAAGTTTAATCAATATTTTTGCATCTCAAAAAGCTAGAAAAGTAGCTTTTAAATGAATATATTTTAATAATTATTGTTTGTGTTGTAGATGTTCTTATTGATTGCTTAATTTCATATATACACACAAACACTTGTAATTTCACACACAATATTTCATCAATTGACACTTTAATTGTTTTATTCGAATCATTCATCAGTTTGGGTTTTGTGAACATTGGCTTTGGTGTGGGATCGTAGTCTTGGTGAATTTGATTATAATTTAATTGATCGACTAATATTTGCATCAATTCACATGACGGGTTGTTCGGATTGTTAACAAAAGTGTTCAATCACTTAATTAAGTACTTAACTTGATAATTGCTAATTTTAGTAGATTAGATTCAAATTGGTGTTTGTTTAATCTTAAATTTAAATTAACCTATTCAACCCCTCTAAGTTGTGTCTAGCAATTTCATGCCGGACGATCCACTCCGCATCTCTCCCCACACTCTACATAGTAACCCATCTCTCAAATTCCAACAAGGACCACGAAGAGATTTTTTTTTTCATGTTCGGGAATTAGGAGCATATGCTGGGCAAAGAGCCTCTGACAAATGCCCTTATGAGGTGGGTGCTCTCTTATTAAAAAAAAATAATAATAATTTTAGTGCTCTAAGATACTCTATCCATTCTTAAATATTTATCGTTTAAAGTTTTTGCACAGAGATTAAAGAAACTATTAAATAACTCTAATATGAGTAAAAAATAATTACACAAGACTAAAATATCCTTATTTAATACGTATTGAGAAAGAAATGAATATGAAAGACATTTACCCTCCACCTAATCTAATGCATTGAAAAGTTAAGGGTAAATTTAAAAGAAACAAATATTATGAAACAAAAAAAATTATATAAAACGACAGATATTTAAGAATAAAAAAGGATCTCAAAGTCCAACCACCCTTTTTTTTTTTTTTTTAATGTTTCGCATTTTGCATTTCTGATTCCTTTCTGGCTTGTGCAAGTGAGATCGTAAAAGGGCCCTACAGAAAGTATAGCCTTTCAACACGAACCACTTTTGTCAGGCTAACTACCACTCTTTCATAGCAATTCCTAAATCGTCTGTTGCATAACTCGTCGAGTACGGAGAAGCTGTTCGGGCCCTCCTAGCCTCAAAAAAGAGCTCCTATTTCCAACGAGGATGCTTCCATCAAGACGGCCCCTACTCCTATTCTAGATAATGATCTGGTAGTCCAATCTTTGTAGATTCCTCCATCTCCATCTCCCTCTCCCTCTTCCAGCACAACCGCCAATCGATCATCCTAAAGATAAAATTCATTCCCCTGATGATGTCTGAGTGTTGCGACTAAGGTACATCTCAAGAAAGAGAACATTGAAGAGGTTGGCCTTTTTTTTAAGGTTGATGATCATCCTGAGGAAGATGCTAGTGCCTCAATCTAGTGCTCGACCTTGAAGGTCAAGGGAAGAGAAATCACTGGTAGGGATTTTGCCACTACCAACGTGGATGTGATCCCCCCCAACCCTAGGATATCCTAGGCTATTGGTGATGAAGAGTCACCTACAATGCCATCTAGATAATGGTGCTAGTAAGACTTTTCCCTTAGTTTTAAAAATTCTTATATTTTTTTTTTCCTAACACTTTTGTCGTTAGGATCTTTAACGAGTCCATGAAGTTGGGGCTCCAATTAGAAGGAAGGACAAGGTTGTGAAGGAGGATAACTCTGCTCAGTCGCTTGCAATTGAGAAAATCGAGCGCTTGAATTATGAGATTTCCCAACTGTCCAAAGAAGTGCTCCATCAATAGGCTTTGGTGATCAAAAGAGAAAGAACATATTGGTTTGAAGTTGAAATCCTTGGAGACTACTAAAAAAGAGGCTTTCGTAGAGCTCGCTCTAGTTTAGGAGAAATTTACTATTCTTCTGGAAGATTTCAAAGCCTTCAAAGCTTCCTCCAAAGTTGGGAAAAAAGATGCTTATGAAGAAGGTGTAAATAAAGATGAGAAGGAACTTGGGAAGCAACTCTCGATCCTAAAGGCTAGCCTTTTCAAGAAGAGTCGAGATATGGCTCTGTCCGCTGCTTGAGTGCCATCAACTTCCGAAACCTTATTCAGGGCACTCGGTATCTACCCTATCCCGAGTGTAAGGGCTTTAGAATAAATTCAACCTCTATAGTCCTAGCTGAAGGCACTTTTGATAGGACGCCTCCCCAAACTTCTGACGACCAAGTCTCGACAAAAAAATGATTAAATAATTAAAAATTTTATGGATCTCATGACATTTTTAGAAATTATATGAATATTATTTGGGGTCAAGTTATAAGTAGGATTTAATTGCGAAACATTTGATTATGATAAATTTTATAGTGATCAAAATTTATTGAGCAAGAAAAAAAATAATAATAAAATAATAAACAAAAAGGAGAAAGATGGTGTTGGTGGCTAAATAGAACAAAATGCATGACTCTTGCCTCTAGGAGACCAACGTGTATACCATAGAGTGAGCCAAAATGATCAGTAAGCTTTTATGGAAAAAAAAAAGAAAAGAAAAGAAAAGAAAAGAAAAGTTGGGTTATAAGAAAGGTAATATAAGACAAAATGTGTGGTGTTTTGAAGGTAAAGACCTATAATGAGGTGTGTATTTTAGACTTTAAAAATAGAGAAATAGAGCTTATGTGTGTATTATGAGTAAGAGACGAAGTACAAAGATGAGGCAAAAGTCTTTGGGTCAAACAAGAAGCGAAAGCTGTAAGGTGAACAATTATGTGGTTATTGATCCATTCGTGTTGTTGGAAGTGTGAGGTCAAGAATAATCGGTATCGTTTAAGTTTCGAGTATGTGGTTTATACATGAAATTTATTTTTTTAATCTCTTTTGCAAAGAGTATTTTATTGATATCATCCTATTTGTATTTAAATTGTGATATCGTTTGGTTTCGAGTTTCAAAATGATATTTCGTTCAATTATTAGAAATTCATCGTATTTCGGTTTGACGTATCATTAATTGTTGTGATGTTGATTTTGGTGGAATACTAGAAGTTTTTTTTTGACTCATGCATGAAGTACACTAGGTGGCGTGGTTATAATTGTGGTTCAAGTTCGTGGCCCTAAGAGGTGAACATAACTGTATTAAAATGTAACGAGTGATGCTAGCATGTTGTTGAGATTGACATAGTATTTAGCCATGAGTGATTTGAATATTCGTATCTTCGAGTTCATTGACATGTTCAATATATTTGTGCTCTATAAATTATCATATTAATTCTTGTGTCGTTGATTGTTTATCGGATAATTAATTAATTATTGTTTTGTTCTTTGACATTGTATGTTATGCATTTGAGCTTTCCTAAGTTCACTCCTATTCACCCTCTCAGTTGCGAGTTAAACTTGAATTAAAATTTGGTGCAGGATCGGGTTGATCAACGAATGGAGAATCTTCAATTGATTGTAATTTTAATTGTTATGAAGACGTTATTTATTTATTTTTGAGGAGTTTAATGATTCTAATGTTTAATTGAGATTCATTTTATTCGCCATTGGTGTAACTAGAGCTCTGAATATTATTACGGAAATGGATTGGGGTTTTACAATTCTCTTCAAGATATGTAATCATATTTTGTTTTAAGTTAATAAAATTTATATTTTTCATATTGCGTTCGTCTTTATATGTTTCTAAATGTTTTCCCCCTTCCCTAACACAAAGGCCTCACCTTTTGAAGGGTTTGGGCTACTTTAACTTGATTAATTTTGTAATACTCGAGCCGACCCACTAAACTTATCGGTCTCAAATCTTTATCTCTTAGTGTTACTCCGTCCTAAGTTTGATCCTGCAGCTGGACCTTGGCTGTACCTTAACCAGGATTTTTCTCTCTGTCTTGGCATGAGATTGTTAAATTATGTCCGAGCATTCTCAAGTCTTTTGTCCAAAATTTCATTCTTGGGCCTTTTTCCTTTAGCATGGCAAAGGCTTTCGTTGTTGGTCCCCACGCCCTGTCAAATGGTTAAATATTTCATACAAAGGCACTTTGTAAGCAAGAAGTTTTATTAATAACTGTTAATTACAATTTCAAATGCTCTGAAGTTGATTGAAGGCATTTTAAATTTAATACAAGCTTTCTAAAGGTACTTAAGAAGTAAAATTTGGGAAGATTAGGCTCATTCCAAGGCCTTGGAACTGACTTTCCCTCAAATGGTTCGAGGCGATACAAGGTTCTTCGTTGTTGCCCTTTCCGTGGAGTCTTTCATACTCCCCGTTATTTTCCTCCGCACAAGGTCCCCAATAAAGAATCTCCTCAGTCGGGACTTTATATCATGTGCTTGGGTAATCTGCTGCTAATAAGATGTCATCTTGATAGCAGTTAAGTCTATTTTCTCTGCGGCAATGATCTAATGGTCGGGAGTCCAATCTCTAGGGGAATGGTCACCTCCATTTTTTAGGCCATTAAATATCGTGTTTCCCCCATTGTTTGGCATAGTGTAGGTTGGTGCACGCATAGGCTACTGAGTAGTTCTTCTACCCACCTTCCCTTGGCTTTGTCCAATTTCTTCTTTATCCCATCTAAGATGGTTTTGTTTGATATCTCTACTTGGCCATTATTGTGAGTAGGGGAAGAATAGTATTCATGATTCCATTTGACAGAAGCTTTTGAATGATCTATTGTCAAACTGGGTGCCATTATCCGACAACAATGCCATCAGTATTCTGAATTGAGTGATGATTTTTTTTAGAGGAATCTATTGGTATCTATGTCCCAAATGCTCGACAAAGTTTGCATAATCGATTACAACTATCAAGAATCCCTTGTTGCCTAGTGCCCTGGGCATTGGGCCTACAATGTCTAGACCCTATTGTGCAAATGGTCACAGGCTAGTCAGGAGGTTCAAGTATTGTTCAAGTTGTCTTGGGATCGACGATAATTTTTGACATTTTTGCACTACCAAACGTATTTTAGAGCACCCATTTGCATATACGGTTACCAATACCCTTGTGATATTGCTCAATAAATAAGTGACCTTCTTATCGAACGGCCCCCATAACTTCTTTCATGGATCTCGAACATAACATCTTGAATCTTGCTTAGGTGCACACAAAATGTGTATGGCTCTGTGAAAGATCGTTTGCATAAATCTCCATTAGTTGATAACCAAAACCTAGCGGATTTCACCCTTAGTTTATGGGTTTCTTTCTTGTCCTTAGGAAGCTTTCTTTCTTTCAAATACACCACTATAGGTTCGATCCAACCTAGCCCCTCTTTGATAGATATGTTTTCCCCTGAGGCCCTTGATTAATGCTAGGGCCTTCTAACATTCTACCACTATCGTTCCTGTGAAATTCTCATGAAATGCTAATGCTAAGACAACTAAGGCATCGACATAGGCATTTTTCCCCAAGCCACATATTTTATTGTAGATTTGGCAAACTCATCTAGCTCTTACATCCTCTTGTCTCTCGATGCGTACTCTCTAGAAAGATGATTCACGATGAGCTAGGAGTTAGAATAAATACTAAGTTGTTCGGCACCCACGTAAGTCACCAGCCTCACTCCTACAAGCAAAGGCCTTGTATTCTGCTTCATTGGTTGATGCCCTAAATTGCAGCGTCATGGATTTTTCCAATATTTCCCCCTCTAGGTATTGCAGAATGATAGCAACTCCCACTCCCTTCTGATTAGAGGAGCCATCAACAATAGTTTCTAGTTGTTCAGTTGTTCTTGCCCCATAAACTATGATTCCAAGACACTTGGAACCTTCTACAAGTCAGGATCACTAGGCTAGATTCCCAGGGGGAGCTCAATCGAAAAATCTGCTATGACTTGTCCTTTAATTAATGTTCTTGGCTTATATTTGACATCATATTCGTCTAGCTCCATAGCCCCTTAGATATTCTATCTGACAGATCTGGCCTTCTAATGAACTATAAAACCCGATAAAAGAAAAATTAAAATCTTAATTAAAGGGGTAAAATGGTAATTAATTGTTAAAGCATGGGTAAAAAATGTGAATTTTTATATACTTCAGATAATAAAACAGACCTCACCGTTAGATTTGTCTGGCGAAATCTAGCTACCTAGTCAATTTTTGTGGAATTCTAAGAAAGTCAAAATTTTCACGCGTTACGAACAAATTGAGTGTCTTGCAAATAAAATAATCGCGATCAAATTTTATTCACGGGACTCAAAATATAATTTAAATTTAGTTCAATAAAAATGTATTAAACTTAACACGAAAAAAGATTTAATTGATTCGGAATAAAATTAGACTCATTAAAATTAAACGTGTGACGCGATGTGGGCTAAGCATTTAAAAGTATATAAAGTGCAAGCCTCAACAGTAAGAGAGAAAAAGGAAAAAAAAAGTTAGTTTCTTGATCTTCTTCCTTAGATCTATGAAGATTAAATTGTTTGATCGCTTCAAGCTAAGAACTAAAGTTGCTCTACTCAACTAGAGCTACACAATCATACCAAAGATCACATTTTTCTACAAAAATATCAAAGAAGGGAATCTAGGACTAAGGTTTAGGAAGTTAAATTTGGGCTTACTTTGGATTTCTATTACTTGGGGTCACGCTACGAGAAGTAGGGTTCCCCCTATTTAGATGTAATTTCAATCGAAAAGATGACATATGAAATGGGTAGGCCAAGGGTATATATCACATGTTAGGTCTTGACTAGTGTAACTAGTAGATCAAATAGAAGATTCATAATTAACCTTATAATTAGTAAAATCATGTTATGATTAACTTGGTGTAAGTTAATCTTAGTAGTTTAAAGCATGTTAATTGTATAATAGCATGACTTGATATTTTAATGGCATATCATGTTTAATAAAATTATTAGCTTGTTATGTGATTATGAAATAATACGTATGTTAAATGATTATTTAGCATATGATTAGTGTGATGGACTTGTACTTATGTTTATAGAATTAATGAACATGTTACCATGTTGGAAGTAATGAATATGCTAGTTGTGTAAATTGATGTGCTTTCTATGTGTTTGTTTAAATGTCTAGGTGAATACAAGTATATTAGTTGAGTTGATTATCTTACATAACATGCTTGAGATGATTTCAAAAATTGCATTACCTTGCATTCATTATATAATTGACATTGTAAATAGTACCTGTAAAACCCGAGCAAATTTAAACATTTATGAAAAAGGAAAAAATAGTAATTTTGTCACTACGGTACGGGTTGTAAACTTGATTTTTTTTAGATCTCGAATGACGAAACAGACCTAACCGTTGCATTCGTCTCGTGAAATTTAGTTATCCCGTCAAATTTCATCGAATTCCGAGATAGTTAGATTTT